CACTTTTATATTAGAACTAATTATATTTCACCCTAACTTCACTTGACTGGTGAACCGCCAAAGAGAACGACTTCACTGCGTGGGAACTTGGGACGCGAGTGAGGCAACACGATATAAAATAAAATAAAAATACAATAATCACAGCCTTTCACGTCGGGAGGACGTCCCAAGGTGTTGGTCGCCAGACGGTATGAAATAATAAAAGTTGTTTTTGTATTCGATTGTAACTTTTCAAATAAGGGACGGAGTGGGGGGGGGGGGGGCTGGGGGAGTCAAAACACAGATAGGTCTTAAAAACCCTCCCTGATCTGTGAGGCAGGAGTGAAGGGGGGAAAAAAATGTCATTCGTCTTGGTGAAATGGTGAAAAAATTGCAACGTGTGATTATTATCACCAGTGGTCAATAGCACTTCACAGAACATGTCTAACCCAGTCACTGTCTCGCCTCAGAGAGACTCGCTCTCACCTCCCCCCCACTCCCCCCTCACCCCCGCACTTTGTCATATAGTCTTTGACTGGTGGTCCTCAAGTCTCCTGTGGCTACCATGATGCTGGCCGGCCGAGTGTGGCTTTTGCCTGCTGGATCCTCGGATATGGTTCTTAACTCTCTCGGCCTTTTGTTGTTGAGTTAAGCTGAGAGCCCTTCAAGGGGGGGGAAGACAAATGGCTATCGCAGGCTACCCACTCGGATGAAATCGGGGGCTCCAGAAACAAAACAAGACTAAATCTGGGCTTTGACCTATTCGGTTCTGAACGAAACTCACTCAACAACAACAACTTGCATTTATGTACTTAGCGGCCACCCAGGGTAGCGACCCAGAGCATCGCCCGGCTATTGGAATTAAAGGCACGAAAGAAAGCAGGTCCCCTTCACTGATGGGACAAGGTGAAAGGTTGACATGTGCTTAGTCGGGCACAAACTCACTCACTCTCTCTCTCTCTCTCGCTCTCTGTGTCCTTCGGGGCGTATTGTGATCCGTTGTGTTAATGATTGAGGAAAGAGCGCCCCGAGAAGGAGGAGATCTTGTTTCTCATTAACTTTCTGCTCGGAATGGTACGTTTTTCTTGTACAAGTGGTGCAATAACAGGATGTGTGTCTGAGAGCACTCTGCAGTGCCTTTTCCACACCGTTGAGAATGCTTAGCCTGAGGGGGCTTTTGTGCTGAGCTGCTGTGGTACCTTGTCACGACCCAGTGAAGTGGACAGGTGAACACGGTTGTTATGGCCTGTTGCTAGGCTGCCTCCGCCTCTGTGATCTGAAGCACTAAGTGATGAAGAGCTGCTCGAAGGGCGAGCGAGGGGGAGCGTTCGACGGATGGAAAACTTCCGTGCGACACTGTGAGGCTCAACTGATGCTGATAGACTTTCTTTCCCTTTAAGTCCGATGACAGAAGGTGGAATGGATTGGCGTCGCTCCCGACAAGCAAAAGACTCCCTTCTCCACGTCTCTCCCTTACTCGCTCGCTCACTCGCACACTCACATGCGCACACACACACACACGCACACACACTCACTCACTCACACGCACACATGCGCACACGAGAGAATAAATATGTTGACTCTCGGGGAGACATCCGAACCGCGATACCAATTGTTTGTTCTGGTTGGTTTTAAAAGATGCCATTAGAGAGAAAAGCAGAGAGTTCTTCAGCATTGTTCCTCATTTCTCTGAATTCCAGATTAATTAAAATGCCCTTCATCACATTTTCTTTTTTGGGGGGTGGGGGGGTGTGTAGGAGAGGGAGGGGGAAGGGGGTAAAGTTGGTAGTACAGATCAGCTTGTGTATCTCTCTAAATATCGTTTGCTGGACTTCAAGTGAGCTGGTATGAGGAAGGGCTTGGGAGGTGTTTTGATGTGATACCGTGCTTTATGGAAGGTGAATATTCCTAGTAAAACCCGTGGTCTAAACCCAACCAATTTGCAAAAAATTCCTATGTTACCGACTGTGTTACTTGGTGGTCCCAACTAGAGCTTCATTAACATGAATCCAGCAGCTCAGTCCTTGACGAGACCTACTTTATTCTTCCGCATGACTTGGTAATAATGGGGATTGTCTGTGCGGAGTCTTGTGGTTATCCGGACGACACATTCCTGTTGCGAGACGGGGGCAGTAGGGGCACCGACACTCTGCCGGGGAGGAAGTGGTTATAAGACTCGAAGCTGAGGCGCTTTGTGTAAGTTTAACTGAGGGTGCGAGGCGGCGCTCAGAGACGGAACGGTGCCATTGTATCGGGTCCTCCAGCCCCTCTGGCGACCCGAGGAGATTAAAAAAAAAGCAGGGAAAGCTCTCGGAGATATGCACTGTCAGGGTGCTAAATAAAGAAGTGCCAAAGAAAGGGTTGTACAAGCACCGCAGAACAAGTGAAAGGGGATTAATGGATTAGCACAAAGCACAGGGGCTTCTTGGGGGCTCCTGTGTCAATGGAGCTTCTGATAAGGTTAATAAGGAGGACAGCCCTAGACATATGCTTGGCGGAGTTTAAAGGGGCAGGGGCCTGGGGCGGCTAAGTGTTGGGAGTTTCAGCGCCAAACGAGGTCTGAATTTGCTTAAAGCACGTCCGGCTGGGTGCTGGGGGTGCTTGAACCCCGGGCTAATCGATCACATTCAACGCAGCAAATAGCATGACCTTAAACGGCACGGAGATAAGTAGCTAACGGTTTGGCCATTTGGAAATGCTGTTTTTATTTTTTTCCCCTTTTAAGAGGATTACGATGGAAAAGACGCATAAAAGAAATTGGTTTAAGTATGTTTCAATCTCAAGGCAACAGCCCTCACCCCCCCCACTACCCATCAGCTCCCTACCCCCCCCCCTCGCCCCCCCACACATTATCAACACTGTGACCCATTGATGAAGAGATGTTTTATGTTGAGATTTTTAAAGTGAGAGAGAGAGAGAGCGAATGGAGCATTTCACATTCTCTGATCTCTCTCTCTCTCTTTTGATTGATTAATACGAGCTGTAGTTGGAGCGTAAAAAGCAGACAGATCCTGTACGCCTGATGGAATTCAGAACCTTTGATATTGTCAAATGCTCTGCCGAGACCCCTAGACTTTTCTGCTACAATTGACTTTTCAATCATCCTGACACTTTTACGCTGGAAATTTATTTCACTCGGGAGGAGCGCAGAAGCTGTTTTTTTTGGTGCCGTTTTTTGTTTTGTTCGTTCGTTCGTTCCCTGGCGCGATAACAGTCACAGAAGAATGGATTGTACGAACACGGCAGCCATTTTGCGCGCAGCAATGTCCCACAAACAACCATGACGTGAACGGCCGGTTTTATCTAGGAGCTCGTTGGCTGGTGATAAACTCCCTTCTCTTTTCGAATAGTGCTGTGGCATCTTTGTTTCAACGTCTCATCCGAAGGCCGGCACCTCTGACAGTGCAGTGCACCCCCCACCTAACCCCAAAACCAAGGCACTGAAGCATTGGGTTTAGACTACGAGCTCCTTATGTGGGGGGGGGGGTTGAACCCACAACCTTCTGACGTGGAGCAGAGACCAACTGAGCCGGGCTGACAACGAACTATTTTATAAACAATTAACGGGCTGATCTCTTTCTCAACAATGGTTTTGGCCAAGAATTTCACATTCCAACCGCCCTCTGTGTAAAACAGTTTTTCTTTTTGTGTGGACACATAGTGTGTATTTATAAGGTATGAGGGCATGTAGTTAAAGACATCATTCTCTCCCCATTAGCGTCTGATGAGGGAATCCAGAACGGGGGGGGGGGGGGGGGGGCATAATTGGAGTTGAGGTATGGATCAGCCATGATGTAGTAGAATGTCAGAACAGGCTCGAGGGGCTGAATGGCCTGTTCTTGTGTTTCCTCTGAAGGATCCACAAGATACTAAGAGTGTGGACGGTCACAGAGAAACAGAAAAGGGGCTGTGGCGATACACTCGATCGATCCCACCAGAGTATATTAAAAAAGACACAGCTTTGTGGTCAATTGTGCGCAGGATTAAAGTGCGTATTTCTCCGTTGTTTTTTTTAAACTACAAAAAAAAAGGATGTCAGCCTTCGGCTTTGAATAAATCTTTTCTTCCCTCTCTCACTTTTCTGCCCCCTTACGCTTTCTCTCTTAACCCCCCCCCCGCCCGGTACACTTTCTGATGAAGATCAACACCCCAAAAAATATACAACACCCAGGGGATTCTGAAAAGGGGCAGCGATGTGGAAGAACGCCCACCCCCATTCACTTAGGCAGCGGTTTGCTCAGTCACATAAGCTGCTTAACCACTTACTAATTGTGTCGACCTGTTCAATTAAGCCGGAAGCATTGAGCTGCTTCTCTCGTTCACAGATATTTCCAGCTTCTGAGGAGCAGAAGTGACTGGAAGATCAGAAAAGGCTGGAGGTCTCGTCTGAGGCTCAAACCTTTTTTGTAGCGTCGCAGCGTTTTATGATTTTTTTCAATGTTACTTAATTGTTAAGATGTGTAATGATTTGTTATTACGATCAGGTAATAATAATGATCCTTGCATTTGATACAGCGCCTTATCACGGTCGTCGAGATGTCTCAAAAACGTTCTCTCCTTCGCTTCGGAAGTCTGACAGACCGAATTTGTGGCAGAGCAACTATACACAACTTTTTTTTAAATAACAAGAAAACCCTCTGACATCCTAAGGAGAGAGAAAACATACACCATTTGAGTTGCAAACGTTTCATCAATTGACACACGGGAACTTGATAAACCATCCCACGCCGCGGCTGTGTTTTTGCACCACACACACACATACACATTTGAGTTCAAGTCTAACACCCTGATAATTTGTTTGCTCTTGAGATCACGTCAAGTCAGTTTCTTACCTGTGTGTATTGCAGGACCGTTCTGTAACGCTGTGTCAAGTTGATTCGTTAACTGTGGCCTTTTAAACACAACTTACATATTTTGGGATGAAATAGCATCACCCTCAACGCAAGAAATCGTTAATGTATTGCAACGCGTACAGAACCTGAAACATGTTTCTGTCGAAAGGGGGTTGAGAGGGGTCTAACCTTTCTGTTGAGTGTAGAGGCACAGCAGTCTCCTCCATCGTAGTTGCAGTAAGCTCTGTTGTTCCCTCCGTCACAGTAGTTGTCCCCAATGTAAAGCTGCAAGAGGAATGAAAGAAGGTGGAATTAATTAAGAGTCAACGGGATAAATGGAGCTGGAGAAGAGACCTTTAAGGCTGGACCTAATAGCGCTTCACAGGGTATACTGTAAAGCAGTGGTGGCCAACCTTTTTGGCCAGACAATCAAATACATATTCTTGATTAAATATTTATTTTTAATTGATGGCCACTTAATAATAATACAATAATAATCCTTGCATTTGATATAGTGCTTTAGACGTCTCAAAGCGCTTCACAGAATATACTGTAAAGTTAATTGACTGTATATTTGTGGGCGAAACGCGGCAGCCAATTGCGCACAGCAGCGTCCCCACAAACAGTCGTGGATTGAAGTGCCCAATTTATTATTGCTATTACTTTTTCTTGAGGGATTATTAACAGGCGTGTGGAGTAAGGGAACTTGCCCGATGTTTCACCCTGCCGGGAATCGAACCCAGGTCACTTCTGGCCCATGGGCCATTGGTTGGCCATCACTATTGTAAAGTGTAGTGACTGTGTATTTTATAAGTGAATGTGGCAACCAATCTGCACATGGCAATGTCCCACAAGCAGCCATGAAGTGAGTGGCCAATATTATCTGGGGAGATTGTTGGCCAGGACACCGGGAGAATCTCCCTTTTCTTTTCACATCCACCTTAACAGAGCACAGATGGGACCTCTCTTTAACCTTGTCATCTGAAGGACGGCACCTCTGATGATTTAGCGCTCTCCCAGGACTGCTCTGGAGCGTCAGCCTTGACTACATGAGTTCAAAGACCCCATGGTGGGGCTTAAAAACAATTAAAGACAAGACTTGGAGTGGAAATAAAACCATTGTGTTCAAGGAATGTATTGCCTTATGAAGTGCGAAGTCGAGGCTTGCATTTTGCAGGTGCGTTGGAGAGCTTTAATGAGCAAATAAGCTGGATTTATAGACTGGATCGAACCAAATTTGAGGGACATCAGAGGGAAAGAATTCTAAGGCGTTACTTGGTTGCAAAGCAGAAGAAAATGTACGGGAAGGAGAATGGAAAGTCAGTTCCTATTCCCCGCAGTCACAGCAGACAAGAATGAGTTAACCCCACAGTCCCTGTGACAATTGTGCAAGTGGTTTATTTATTGCCTGTTTAAGGGACCAGGTTAAGCTCAATGATCCACAGCTGTTCCCAAGAACCTTAATTAGATTGTCAAGGGGGCAGGAATGGAGATGTAACCGCTTTGCAGTGATTTTGAGCACTGGACAGGCAGAGAAGAGGGGTTCGATTTTGGGGGTAAGAAAAACTGTTTTTGCTTTTACTGAATGGAATGTTTTTTTCACTACTACGTGCTCAATGCTGATGTTTGCTATGGAAGTAGGAGAGAACTTAAGTGGGGCCGGTTGAATTTTGCAGTGATGTTTTCGCCCATGTTTCTGGGTTAAGAGATGCAATACAGATACATGCAAAGTACTCCATGTGGGACGTCGGACTAGGAAGCGTGTGTGCTCCATGAATGGGATAGAACTTGCCAGGGGGGAAGCTGAAAGAGATATTGGATTGTGAGTTGACTCATTGCTCACCATGTTAAAACAGTGTAAGGCAGCAATAAACAAGGCAAATAGGATGCTGGGCTCCATTGCCAAATTAGTTGAGTTCGGATCCCTGGAGGTTAAACTCAAGCTGTAAAATGCTCTGGTCAGCCCACACCTGGAGAGCTGAGTGCAGTTCTGGATTCAGTGATATAAAGACCCTAGAGGCAATGCAAAGGAAAGTGAGGAAGATGATCCCCAGTGTGAACAATGTTTTGTTCAGTCTTGAAAAGATGTCTCGAAGGTGACCATATTATACAGGCTGTACATAAGATTTGAAATTGGATTGAGAGTGAACTCTAAACGCTACTTTTGGCTGCAATGAGGAAGGTTTAGGGTTGTGAAGGGCAATTTCAGGGTACCAGGAATGTAATTCTTTACTCGGAGGGTAACTGACTGGAGTGTGTTACCAGGAAGGCTGGTTGAAACCAGGATGCTGGACTTGTTGTCTTATTTTAAGAAGAAGCTTGATGCTTTGATAGAAGGGTGAGGTGTGTAGTCTGGAAGCATGAAATCAAAGGAGCCCAAAGGGCCGTCTTCATCCAAAACTCTATATAATGCTTCCATAGCTTTGCTCAACTGGTGGTGCTCTTGGCTTTGGGTCAGCAGGTTGTGGATTCAATCCCACAAAGGCCTTTGAGCTCATAGTCCAGGCTGACACTCCAGTGCAGCACTCAGGAAAGTGGTGCCTTATGAGATGTTGAATTGAGGTTCTGCCTTTCCATCCGGGTGACACGATAGATCCCGTGATGCCATAAGGGAGTTTCTCCCGCACCCCGATCACCCCAGTGTCTTGGCTGACAATCCCTCAGATAAAGTTGGTCAATCATTTCAGGACTGGTTGTGTAGGGCCCTGCCAAGCCTACATTGCTCACAGTCACTACATTTGACAGCCATTACAATGACCTGCGACGTGCTTGAGTGATGCTGTACAAATGTGTTGTTGTTTTGTCTGTGACCATCTATGTGCAACGAGTATTCTTACTGAAAAATTCTGCTGAGGTTAAATTTTTTTTGGTGGTGTGAGTGCGGAGGCAAAGAGGGGAGAGGTGAAGTGGTTGTGAAACAAATTAGATTTTGAACTCTTTTCCGTCTCTATCCAGTGACTGCTGGTTGAGAGGCTAACTGCTGACATGTTGAGTAGTACGTTATAAACATTTCAATAAATGCTTTAGCGAGAAAGCAAGATATTCCCTAAATACCTTTTTTTCTTCTTCTTGGCCCTAAATATTGCTGTTTTGCATTTTTAGTGCATGTTCGTATTAACGCAGCGCCATGTGCCGAACCTCATCCCAAGTCGGCTGTAATTATTGATAGTGTTAACAGCTCTGAACCCGAAGGGAAATCACCCCTGAAAGGGCCTGTGCAAATCGTCAGTGCAACACGATGCCACGGAATTAATACACTCAATATTTGCCGGGAGTTGTGTTTCAGCTTTCTGTCGAGTTGAGATCGAGCGAGTGGGTGGAACACAAAGCCTTTTTTTTTAAAAAAAAAGAGTTTAACTAACTTGCAAAGCTGTCTTGGGCTCTCCCAACAAACGACCGTTATTTTTAACCCCACCTTAGTCCTCGAGTGTTCTCAGGGGCCGAGCTATTTATACCCCGGGCGTCACAGTCCAGATGTTTTTGCAACAGGCCCTGTGCCTGAGAGGGTACATGTGGAAAATGTTCAGAGCCAAGACCCAGCAGTATAATTGAGAACGTTTCAACTCCAAGCCTTTAATGAAGCTGGTGTAATACAACTGAGTTCAGATATTCCAGTTCATTGTTTTGCCCATGAGCAAGTTCCGCTCGGACGATTTCTGACCCGTTTTACCTAGCTAAGAAGTTTTTTCCTTTTTTTAAAAAAAAAACAAATTGCTATCGCGTCTCCTGCATATCTGGTTGTTTTCCCCTCTAGCGCAAAGTAAACTCCGTGCAATCTGTAGCGTAGGGGTTAGATCACTCGCCTCGCAAGTGAGAGGACCTGGTTTTGATTCCTGGGCAGGGAGAAATGTTAGGCAAGTTTCCTTCCTCCGCAAGCCTCTGTTTGCCTAGCTGTACGTAGGAAGCTGGTTGCTGGTCGACTGATGGATCGCTTTTCCGTGGGTGATAATCCCTTAAAAAAATAAATTAATCAATAATAATTTGGGCGTGTAACCCTTGACTGTTTGTGGGACGCTGCTGTGCGCAATTGGCTGCTGCATCTAGCCCCCAGAATATACAGTCAATTCATGTTACAGTATATTCTGTGAAGCGCTTTGAGACGTCTCAGTGACATGGTAAGGCGCTGTATCAAATGCAAGTATTATTATCTTTAGGACCTTTTTTTTTTATTCGCTTGCTTTCTGAACGCTGCACTGTGGTTTGCAGAACATCCAGCTAGAGTATCCACCTGTTTAAGCTCGTGAACCAACTCGGTCACATCCTAAAAGAATTCAATAAATATATTACGCACAGCCTGCCTCTCTCATAAGCCCCTGTTCACTTGGGTCCAACTGGCAGGCTCGCTCGAATCACTTCCTTCCCAATTGACTCAAAGCATTTTTCCCATTAAAAATGTCAAGCCAACAAGCTTAGAATTCCCAAGATCATCCTCAGATTTTTTTTCTATAAAAGATTGGAATTACGCTCATCATCTCCATGAGTTTTGTGGCCAGCGAGCTTTTATAGCCATCTCTGCCACCACACCCCTACTTTTACTCCTCGTTTGTGATTTTAGTCGTGTTGGATCCACCCCGCTCTGCCCTGATGTTTTATGAGCCTTAAAGCACTCCAGTTCTTGTTTAATGACCATTTCATTGCTAACCACAAATCTCCATAAACTCTGAAGCATCCCTGTCAGTTGGGTTTCCTATCTGGGCGCACTGGCTAATGTCTTCGTCTTCACTGGTGACAACAAACGTGGATTTTGCTCACACACTATACAGTTGTGACACTTTTACGGTAAATACTATGAAGCTCTTTGAGATGTCTCAGTGATACTATATCAAATGCTTTGTTGTTGTTATTAAGAAGAAGAAATAATGGAAACCTTGATGAGACTGCAGACTAACCTCACTGTTATTACCTCTTTCTTCATTATTATTCAAAATATTTCACCCACAAAATACAGTCAATTCACTTTCTAGTATTATTCTTTGAAGCGCTTGATGTTCTACCCTACTACACTATGTACCGCCTACCTTCTCTCCAGTAGTACAGTCTCGTTTAAAACCTCTCCTCCTTTTGATTTTGTTTCAAGAAAGCCTCCGATAGTTTCTAGCTGTTTATCTTATTTCTTTCACTCCCTCCTGAAATCTAATGTACTCCTTTTCTTATCCCTGCCAGCGTGAGTCAAAAGGTCAATTCTAATGACATCATGATCACTAGTAATTGAGTGAGTTCCTACCAGCCCACACGTTCCATTATCTCAGCCTCGCTGCTAAATATTGCATGAAGCAAAGCCTCTTTCATACACCCTTTTTACCCTGCCTGCCTGATGTTGCCTTTGGGGGGGTGGAAAAACTAATTTTGCTTCAACCCTGTATGACCAAACTAGTTCAGTAAAGCACTTTTCTCTCTCTTGCTCTCTCAAGTCTCCTGATTTGCTTGAGTTATTCAATTCAAAGTTAATTTTGTCCACATTGCAATTCACAATTGTTGTTATTATTTTCCATTGGGAGATGCAATCTTTTTCCCTCCCTGCCCCCGCCCCCACCATCTGAGTTGTATAGAAATGTCTTAGCAGAGCCAGAATTCATGATTCAGGGGTGTGAAGGACAGACACTTGGAGATATTTCATTGCACTGAGGCTAAATGACAGCAGGAACAAGTTTTGGATGAGGACAGGACAGTGAAGTCATTTCAGAATCTTCTTGATTCCGTTTAATTGATGGTGATCTCAAATGTAAAGCTGCATCGTCAGATACGCTGTCCCTCGGATGAGACATTAAACCAAGGCCCCCTCTGCCTGTTCAGATAAGCATTCAAGATCTGTCCTACACTAGCAAAGTTTCTCCTGGTGTCCTGGCCTAACAATCCCCCCGATAAAATTGGTCATTCACTTCATGGCTGTTTGTGGATCCCCGCTGTGCATAAATTGACTGCCATGTTTTTTTTTGCAAGGATATTTTGCCTGTTAAGCATTCAAAGATTTGTTTTTCATCATCCGTGTCGTGTTATTACATTCTCATTCACGTTACCTCAGTGTGAACGAATAGCAATTTAACAGCGTTGTGCATTACATTTTTTATATATACAAAAATACCATTTGCGCATCTCAGTCTCCAGGCATGAGCACCAAATCCCATTAGGACCTTGCAAGCAGAAATATCCCCATCTTTTCCCTGCCTATCAGTAAAGCCAAACAGATCTTTTGGGTTTCACGAGCGAAACACAAAAGCTAGTTTAATGCCAAACTTTCATTATTCCGACATTAAAATTTAAAGACAAATTAGCCTCTGACCGCCCTGAGAACGTGTAACCTTGCCCTTGCGTGTGATATACATCTCGTCATTACTACGATCACAAAGGACTTTACTACAGTAAAGTCTCCCTGGGGTGGGGGGGGGCAGTTAAATCATTCTTGTGCTGAATGTGCAGCATCTTCTATTTCGAGATTGCTGTCTGTCAATTAAATGTGTGTGCACCTCAGCCAGGACTAACCGCTGGCTTCCATTTAGACAGGACTCCTTTGGGACTTTGCAACAGCACCTGCATACTTTACAATTATGTGCAACCTTTACCCTGCCCTCAAATTGTTTTTCGTTGAATGCTCGGCGTTCTTGGTATTTGGCGTATCGCCAGAATTTTTTTTTTCCCTTTCTCTCCCCCCCCACCCGCCCCCTTTCCCTCTCACTCACTCTCACTCACTCCTCAGGCGCAAAAGAGGATGAAAATCAATGCACGCTGCCCTCAAAATGTCCATTCCTCATCAACCGTTCTCCTCACTGTGTTAATGACAAAGCAACTGAAGTGACTGACCGACCCACTCACTGTTTTGATGTACTTGCTCGTGTAATTTGAGTCTCGACGCAATTACAAAAGAACTAGAGAGAAGATCAGAAAGTTTACTGATCTATATTACAGGCAGAACAAGGCTGAACATTTATTCATGACGCCTCACCCGGCCCCCCACCTCCAAATGCCATAAATCAGCCCAGATCCCCCCCCCCCCTTCTTTGGCAAGTGTACAAGTCCTGCAGCAAAGGGCATATTATAGAACGAGAGAGAGCTTTATATAGAGTCTCTTTAAGCGAGGGAGCCATAAACGATGCGTGCTGTATCCATGGCTATTTTCTGGTATGGCCAGATCTGGAATTGTTGCATTAACCTCTCGAGATCCAAGTTTTGTTTGCACCTTTTCAGTGTTCAAACTAAAGCGATGGACCGAGCAGTAACTGAGCTAACTTCCCTGCTCGCTGGAAGTCCCAATTCTCGTCTCCACAAGCTACAGATTATTCGATGCTCTGCTGCTCGTGTCCTCTCCCGCACCTCACCTGGCTTCACTGGCTCCCCCATCCCCAGAGGATCAAGATCCTCATCCTCACCTTTAAAGCCCTCCGTGGTTTAAAGACTCCACACGTGAATAATAATAATAATCCTTGTATACATTGTAATACAGCACATTGGGCTGACTGAACACAGGATTCACTGCGAAGTGTACCGACTATGTATTTTTGAAGTTGCAAGTAAAAATAAAGAGAGCTCAGCTGTCCTCGGGGGGGTTTTCTTTTTAAAATAAAAAAAAGTGTGTAGGAAGTCCATTTTGTAAAACAAGTACACACGGGCATAATTCCAAATGTGGAATCCTGGACTATTGATTTTTTTACAAAGAATTTATGGGCGTTTACAACATAAACACTCCAAAAAACTCCTTCGAAGAACACAAGAGATTATGCAGCCGGGAACAATTGTGATTTAATATGGGTTTTGGGTGAACTGCACGGTTGTTTTGACCTTATAATCAATTATGAAGTCTGCGTTTTTATCTTGAGCTGAAATAACCAGTTTATAAACTGAGACTGAGAGAGGGTGGGGGTGTGGGGGAAATGAGACGAGGTGAGTGGGGGTTGGGGGTGGGGGAATGATGCGAATATCAATGCTACTAAATTGGCATTACTCCGCATTGCAGACTGATGAGTTAGGGGTTGCACAGCACATGTCTTTGTCGCATAAACGGTCAATAAACCCTGAATATTTTCCACGGCAACCACCCTCTGAGCGTCTCGTACCTGCGCGTTTGTCTGATTAGCGTTAGAATAACTTAACGTAAATTGTAAGTTCTTTCTACAAATTCTCAACGGCAACAACAACAAAAAAAAAACCTTGCCCACCTGCCGAGAATTCATATTGCAGATAATGGGTTGTGTAACGGAGTGAAAGTTCACATAACATTAATGCTGGCGCCCGCTCACATGACCATTTTTTTAAGCAATGAGGCTTGGAAGGTCTCCAACTAAGTCTGAAGGCCCCAGCCCGTCATCTCTCCAAACAGCAGACTCGCACCAAAACTGGGGCAAAAGTACTATTATTTACTCTGGTTTTACAATGTAGATTTGTAACGTGGAAGCACATGAGAAAGAGTGTGTGTGTGTATGTTTGTGTCAATGTATAAACTAGACGTGAAAGCTTTGGGGGGGGGAATTTCTGAACTTTCCAGATGTTTATCAATAGTTTTTTTTTCATGCTACGCAAAACCTGTAGGAGATATTTCTCCTGCTTTTACGGAATAAAAGCTGCATTCTTGCTGAAGATGCTGAAACGTGAAGCCATGTTTTTAATGGAATAATAATAATATCATGACTTTTTGGTCACCTGTGTATATTTTATATTTATATATATATATAAAAGTTATTTGAGTCCCTTTTAGCAAATGTATGAATATAGACGTGGTTTTGGGGGAGTTTTCCCCCCAATTAAAGTCTATCACGCTGCCATTACCCACCACACTTACCTCGCACGTTTTGATGCAGTGAATGTTTTCAGGCGCTGGATGCCATTTCAGTCCTGCCGTACAGATAATTTTCTGTAAAGAGAAGGAAAAAAGGCGAAGGTTACAATTGGCGAATCGAAAGTGCTTTAATAATTAAAAGAATAATAATTAAAATAATAAGTAGAATAATAAATTATACTGCTATAATATATTGTAGTAATAATAATAATAATCCTTGCATTTGATATAGTGCCCTATAACATCTTCCAGACGTCTCAAATTGCTTCGCAGAATATACTGTAAAGTGAATTGAATGTATATTTTGTGGGCGAAACATGTCATGCTACCCAGGTTCTCTCCTCTCCTAGTGCTTCGGGGCTTTTTTTCTTAAATTGACTATCGTCCCTCAGAATTCTTGGTGATCCCTTGATACCATAAGTGACGCTTTCCAATGTCATGGGTGACTTGGTCAGAGGGGAGATTCAAACATATAACTGAGACCCTCCCCTGCTGGTGTCAGAGATCAGGGGTCAAGTGTTTGCTCTTGAAAAGGCAATCAGCCTGGAAATTGGCAAATCCGGACTTTTTTTTATATGAAAAAAAAAGTTTGCTCATCACGGATTGCAATCTAAAATATCTGGAGTTTATTCTTAATTCATAAGAGGGCCCCTTCAAGAGCACCAAATGACGCCACGCACGGAAGTCCATCTACTCTCAACTATTGTACTTTCCTGACACTTCATTCCTTCCAGAGTCCCATCACCATGGTTGACAACAACAACACTTGCATCATGACTCGTTACTCCGAGCACTCGACTCCAGCTGCTTCCATATAACGGTTGACTCAGCCGCCAAAAGGCGACGGACGCGATGTGTGTGAATGGAAGCACGCTGACCAGAGGGTCAGTCAAGAGGTAGACGATATCCTCGTCAAAATTATTTTCTCTCGGAGTTTTGCCTTTAGAATAGTTTTGTTTCGGGTTTTTTTTTCAAAAAAAGAAAAAAAACTGTCTGACCAACTCATGGCGTTGAGCTTAGTGTCGCTTCTCAGAAAGCCCAAAGTTAAGTTAATATTCGAATCCTATCGTGCCACTTATGGAACCTGTTTTTGTTTTTTTTCTCTCTCTCTCCTAAAGTCCGGGTGTTGAAATAACAGATTTGGAAATCAGCCAGCGAACTTAATTGTCCATGACCGAGAGAGTAAAATGCAAAAATCCAGCCTTTTAATGATTAAGTGTTGACGTCAAAGGCGATACTTCAATTAAAAATGGCAACAGCACACACAGGATCTAAAAGCCAAACAGATTTTCTGAGGGTTTTTTTCTCAATCTCTCTCTCTCTAAGTCTCTGTAAAAGGTGCAGACGCAACCAGGTTTCCTAAACCCACAGACGAGCAGAGTTCGCTGTAGCTCAAGTTCAGTATTGTTCAGCCCACAATGCCTTTTTTGTGTGAGTCAGTAACACTGGCAGATGAGTTTGTTTTTCCCCAATATCCCCCTTTACTATGGGGGGAAAAAAAAGACTTGTTTTACTGAGGCAATACTCTGCTCTTTCTTCCCTACCCTTACCCCACACCCTGTAATTCCTCCATCCCATTTACATTCCATTAACTTGCCACACATCTAATTGCTTTTTAGATAACGTTCCCTCTCTCTCCTCTCTCACTCATTTTTTTAGACTGTCCATAATTACTGTAGCGCTGGTCGGGGAATAGTGCAGTGAGCGAGTGGAGGCAATCTGTATAATGGGCCAATGCAGATACAGATAATGTTCTCCATGTCAAGTCATACTGTAATTGGGTCCGACTAGGTTCAGCTGCTGTTTACCAGTTTTCACTTGAGTTGCTTTGAATCTCCCATCACGTCCAACTGAATACCTCATTAAACCGGAGGTCGGGACATTTGTTAACAGTAAAATATTTTTTATATTATTTTGTCTGCGGATCTCTTTCTAGGCATTTTTTTTTCTGTGCGCATGTGTGTATGTATGTCTGTTTCTCTTGGTGTGAAGAGCCTTCATGTGACACTGTGCCACACGTTCACTTCTGTGTTCCTTTACAAAGAGTCATGTTCCCACTGCCTGATGTGGTCGTCCGGACGCGATTATTGTCTTTTTGCATGACTGTGCGCCAAAGATGTTTCTCGACAGCTTTATTTAGCCAACTGTTAATTTAGGGTGAAATAAATGGTATTTTGGCTTGCGATTGTGAAATCCTCCTCACCACTGACCTGAGTGTGAAGTGCCTTGCCACAATTTTTTTTCTTGCGCAGAGAAAAGACTGCCAATGGTGTGGTGGACCAAAAGGTTGGCTCATGTTGTCAAAGGCGCATGGCGGTTTACATAAAACACTAGTCAAGAAATAAAAGGAACCGTGCAGTGAACAGGACTGTAATTCAACGGCACGCTGCATGGATTGCACTTGATGCTTCCCACAGCATTGAATGCGCTGCGCAGTTTCTATCAATTGGGGGGGTGTGGGGAGGGACAAGGCTGAAAAATTCTCTGACACAAGTTTAATCCGAGAGAGGATTAAGCGCTCCGAGATGCAACCCTCTTTGTAAAGGCCGCTACGATAAGCGCAAGCTATTGTTGTCGCCATTTAACAACTTCAACGGCAACAACTACTTGCACTTACATCGCAGCCTCCACGCAGGGCAGTGTCTCATTTAACTCGATGAGCTTTACTTCGTGACTGACCTTTGCCTTGGAAGGATTCATCCAATATTTCACGTCGTCTGAGGTCATGTTGCTGGCTAAGAGAACCGGGTCGGTTTGGCGGAGCAAACACGACACTGTGCATTCAGCACCTGGGGGAGAGTTTGGGAGGGGATTAAAAAAAGAGTTTTTTCTTTTTTTCAAACGTGCCTTGAATATTCCCACCCCCCCCCCACCCACTTTCCCATTGCCCCCCCCACCCCCCGCTTGCCCCTCATCATTCACAAGGCAAACGTTTTGCCATGAAATTCCTTTGCGTTCTGTCAGTACATTCCACGCGAGCAGGCTGGTCCATAATTGATGGGGCAAGAGCATTACAGCACTACGGATAGCTCCACAAGCCCCAGCTCACATACACAGGACTAATCTCTCTGCTCCTTAACAAATCAGACATCAGTCGTGCCTGGATAAACAGTAAAGACAGGTTTGCCCTAGCATTCACCGCAGTGTTTTATACTAATTAGTTTTAAACCTTTTATAGAGGGAACTCAAGTGACTTCAGTCCTGGATCGGCAAAGGCGACTGAGTCGAGATCGAGTCTTTAGCAAATGGCTGGTCATACGAGAATTTTTTACGGGTTCAGCTGTGCCTTCTCTTGAACGGAATGAAGGTTTGTTCCAGGCATTTTGCGTAGCGCACACCCCAAGACGAAGGTTCGCCACTATTAAACCCGCCTGCCTCGAGTCTGGCTGTTGGCTTGGCAGCACAAAGCATGTTTTCCTGCATCGTCACCAAGAGCAGCAGCAGGACGCATTTATAGTTGCAACAAAGGCTCGGAAATTCTGTTTCAAACATGAAAGCCGAGCCTCTTTTTTTTCCTCTCTCTCTCTCTCTCTCTCGTTTTTTTAAATGCTCATAGCTCCAGCCCGCTCATAAAGAGATGCTGTGCCAGTCTGCCATATCACACTACCGTACTTCGAGCTCACCATAAGGCACGGCAACTCTTGAAAGAAAAAGACACGTTTTTAGCTGATATTGACATGTGCCGTCCAAGACGCCGCGAATGAGCTTTTCCTGAGGTTTGCCCACCAATTACAGTCACTGCACCTTACACTTGAAGCGTAGTGACTATGTAAGTGTAGAAAGGTAACGGCATCTTTCAGTGTCTCAGTGGATTTCTAATATAAAGTGTAGTGACTGCAGAATTTGTAGTTGATAATGCCCCAGGTGATATTTAGCTGAGTCTTTATTCTGTTTTCCCCTCTGAGACCTTTCTCTTCAACCGTGCCTTCAGCTCCCCTCTCGACTCTCTACCCGCTCCTCGCTCCCTCCCCTCACCCTGACCATTTCCCCCCTCCTCGCTCCCTCCCTTCCCTCCCCCTGACCATTTTCCCCCCAATGCTCGGGTCCCAACCCAACTGTCCAGCGCCTTGGGACGTCGTCCCGACGTGAAAGGCGCTCTATAAATGCAATCTTGTTGCTGTTGTTGAGACATCAGCAAAATCTACCACATTGATGCCAGGGGGATTTTCCAGCCTGCCCGGAAGCTCTACAGCACTGCTTACGTGGAGCTTACCTATGCCGTAACCGTCTGTGCAGTTCAGCCTGATCCGGTCATTGAGTCGATGAGGTGGTGCACATTCTCCATTCATTGAACTGCAGACTATCAGCGAGCTATTCCACGTACCGTCTTTCCTGCAGCGGACCACATTCTGGATCGATTCCTGCAAAACATTTGGAAAATTGCATCCTTCAATGGCTGGAATCCTGTACAGACCTCAAACCGAGGACGAGTGAAGCTCTCCAAGGTTGACGAGGCTGTGCTCTAATGGCAGGTTCGTAATCCCATCATAATCCTCGTCCGCGCGTGTATATAACGCACAGGCTGGCTCAGCTCGGATCTACTTCTGGAGTGCAGTTCTACTCGTCGAAAGGAAGTGTTAATGGGGGGGGGTCCTTGATTTAAAACATCCCGGAAATCCACTCCACCATCCTCTCCCGCTCTGCAACAAGTTCAGAAATGTGATCGGAATGTATTTCTTCGCATGGAGCGAAGTGGGGTGTGAAAATGTGGAACCCACTGCCCCCAAAAAGGCAGTTGAAAGCAGAATCGATGTCAAAATGGGAGATGGGTAGAAATTTGGGAAGTCAGAGCTTTTAATGATTTGTTTGAAGAAAGAAAAAGAAGTGGGCTGTTCCCCTAATTTTTTTTCTCTCTCCTGCACATTCTAAGCATTCGGAGAACATTTTGAATCATGGAAATTTCCCAAGGATATTCCAAAATGAAGGAGAAACACACACTCACACACACACACACACACACACACACACACACACACACACACACACACACACACACAGATGACGCTGGCCAAAGGGGAACAGCATTCCCCAAATCCCCACTGCACTCTCTATCCGGTCGGAAGCCCACCGGCTCTGATAACCGAAATAGTTTGACCTCTTTGCCCCTATTCAGCGAAATAGGTTTTTATTTGTGGTCGGGGCATTGTCTACCTGCCGTGTCTTAACAGCTCAAATTGGACGCCATCACCCTCGGGCATTGCAGGACTCCTGGTACTCAAGAAATTGACCAAATTGGAGCCAGTTCTACACAGCGGGAAGCTTTCCATTTCAGAGAACCTTCCACTACAATTACAAGCCTCCCGTGGGGGGGGAAACAATTGCGAAGCGTCCAACCCTTTCATAGAAAACTATTTCGCAGAAAACGCCTATTAATCGAATGCAGTGGAAAACAATGTAGTTGCTGATGAGAAATAGTTTTTTTTTAAAAAACATATAGTCTAATTGAATGTTAAAGCAATGTGTGTTTGTTTTGAGAAGAGGTGACATGTAGTAGTAGTAGTAATAATCCTTGCAGTTGATAGAGCGCTTGTGCTATTCCACATCAAGACTTGGGTACGGTCCCACGAAGGCTGGTCGGCACGTCTGAAGTTGGCTGCTACTCGTGACCACAGCTTCTCGGATACAAAGGGTGATTTCAGGAGACGGCGGGAAATGTTACTTTGCCCAGAGGGTAATTAACGACTGGAACAGGTTGTTAGGGAAAGGGGGGGAAGCCTTGGACTTGCTTAAAAGGAAATAGCTTGACGTCGTGATGGGATAGATGGTAGGATGGGTTTTCTGGAAGAATTAGATCAAATGAGCCAAAGGGCTTTCTTCATCCAAACCTCTCTTGTGTAAGCATTGGTAAGCCATTTATTGGGAGGGGAAGAGAGAGGAAGAGTAGCTGCCAAGCCAGCTCATCTTTGCCTAATATCCACATGTGTACAGTTTTCAGCAGGGTTGAGTGAACAATAATGATAAGTTTGCTGACGTATTTCCCCTCTATCTCTCTCTCTCTCATCACGACCTACCCTACCCCTGGGGTTAGCAAGCTCAGAGATGCCAAAGGCACCAAGTTTCGCAACGACTAAGATCAGTTAATTCAGTGCGGACTAGAGATCGAACCTGGAATCGTTCTGGATCTAAACGACTCAATTTAATTCCATGCGGTGGTGGGGGGTGGGTGGAGGTGTGGTGTAGGTTACAAGAGATCACAGAGAGTGGACAGTGGGAGGGTGTGGAGTCGCCCTGCATGTTTGGTAGTGAAATCGCTGCATACCAACACGACTGAGAGTTTCCACTAAACGCAGCATAGGATTTCATTGCGTGTTGACATCATAGGGAAGGTGTGCGCTGGAACCCGCAGCTATGCGAACGGACCCTACTTTATTTACAAGGAGGCTTGCCTCGTTTCAGAGTGTTTTTGTTTCATTAAAAAAAAAGTTGCAAGAATTAAACTTTTTTTTTATTGTCCTCGTTTGTTAAATTCACTGGAGGTAAGAGCCGCATGATGTGGTATTACAGGGTTGGATCCTGTAGACTTTTCAGTGGGTCAATGCTATAGAACAGATCATTGCCATTAGCGCTGATGTGAACAATGGGATTTAGCGAGGTGTCTGGCCAAGGATTGAGGGAACCAGGATTGGCGGTGAGCATCTTATGAAGGAAAATCCCTGTTAACCATGGCCCTATTAATTGGTGTCTGATTACATTGGCATTGTAGGCCAGAAAATCGCAGACAACCATGTGAATCAAGCCTGCTGGGAAAAACCCTTATAAATTGCGGAGGAGAGAGAGAGAAAAAAAAGAGGCCCGTAAAAGCTTTTTTGCGAGGTGAAATTTGCCAGGAAATTTTTTTTTCTTTTTTTTTTTTTGAACGCGAGAGCAGGCAGCAACATTTTTCCCTTATTGTTCTCCTGCTTCAGAGGCTCGTTCGCTAACTTTTCCACTGATCGAGAGGCCCCGCGTGTCGGCTACTCACAGAGTCCTTGGCCTCGCTGCAGTTTATCGAGCAGACGCTGTTGAACTGGAAGCCGTTGGTGCAGTGGTGAACGCCGTGGAATTTGTCTGGGAGTGCCTCGCACATCACGGGGATGCAAGCCCCCTCCTGCCAGCTCCCGTCCTCCGTGCAGCGCATCTTAAAGGTCCTCCTGTTTCGGCAAAAACAAACAAACAAACAAAAAAAATGAGCAAAATCCTTGCCCTTTTGAGGTGGTGCCTTCTCACATCCACTGCGGCCCCTCCAGACGCTTTCCAGGTTCCGATGTGAAACATGGTGACTCTGCTAGAACTCTTTTTTTTCCCCTCCCCACCACCCCCCAAAAAAAGCCTCTGGATGCTATTGCTCCACAATCGGATAGCTTGGCACGCTCGAACCCAAAGAATTAACACTTGGGTGTGTAGGGCAGTCAGTTCAGTGGTGATGGTGGTGGGGAATGGAGATGGTGAGGAGGATTGTAGGAATCTCACTGTTCTCCACAGTGAGTTTCGCCAACTCGGCACAGACCGGGATTAAACGCTAGAGCCGTCACCCCGCTCTCCAGCCCCCTCGGCCACGCTCTGCGCCTCTTGAAGATGGAAGGAAAAGCTTCCTTCCCAACACAAGTGAAAATGCAATTGTACAGACATTTTTTTTTGTTCACTTCTAATAAAAATCTGACATGATAGGAGGCGGGGGAGAGGGGGGAAGGATTGAGAGCAGCATCTCTATCTGTGTTTGGCTTTTAACTTAGATGATCTATCAGTATCATTACTTAAATGTGTTTAATTAAATATGCATGAGACTTGAGGAATGCTCAGTGGGATTCTGAAGATCTCTCAGTGCCAGCAAGATGATCTGTGAAGTCAGTTCCTCAGGATTAATTTCCCTACACTGCGCACACGGCAAAGTCCATTAGCATGTATAATTCATTTTAATGGTTTAAATAAAGGAAAAAAACAGCATGTTTCCTCATCCTTTTAATAGTGTGTGTGTGTGTATATATATAAGCATCCTTTAGTTATTAGTTATAAATTCAGCTCCTATATTTTGTATGTGTCTGTGTGTATGGCAACCGAACAGCATTTTAGAAGCTTGGTGGCTGATATTAATTAAACGCAACTCAGTATCAAAGGGCTTATTGCTGATAATCTATGCCAAAAAAGGTAATGTCCTTACAGTCTGGTCCTGAGCTGCCAAAAACAATGCAATTTTCTCGTAAATGTTTTTATGTTCCAATACTAAACACTATATTAGCATGCAAGCAAATGGTTTTGCGCATTTTTGTGGTACAGCTTTAAAGGCAGCCCCTAATTGTTTGTTAGTTCATAACTTCGACACCTTTAACCAATTTCTAAAGTTTGCTTTCACATGTCAACATTATCACGGCGATCGGGTTTATAGGTAGAAGTGGAATGAATGATGTCATTGGCAACGCAGGCTTTGATCCTTGGACACCCAACCGCTTTACCCTGAGCTGATCTTAACGAGAGTGAGAGAGCAGGAGTGCCCACCACACCCAACGCCCCCACCCCCCTGGCAAACAATCAGCCATATATGTACATCACCGCACATTAGTTCTACTTACTTCCTTATCTTTTTCAAGGGGTTAGGAACATGGTAACCTGGCTTGCACTTGTACTTGCACGATGAGCCAACTTTGTGCCTCTCTTGTTGGCAGTGGCTGCTTTGAAATATCGCGTTGGGCACAGCAGAAGGAGCTAAACACATCAGTTCACAAAGAGCCTCAGGGAAAGACCAGAGTCCATCGTCTAGGCAGGTCAGACTTTTATTGGTCCCTGCAGAACAGTATACAGTATTAGTCCAACTGTACGGCTTGTTTTGGCACAGAATGCCCTAATCTACTAGGAGCTAACCAACCTTATTGGAACTACTGGCACAAGGCTTTGGAAAGCAAATTGTTCACAGTACCTCTGAAACGCATATCCTGTACACGCTGTTATAAACCACAACAGCACGCTGTTTTATAGCACAAAACATATCTATGACATTTACTTAAGAATAACTCTCTCCCATTTTCTGCTCTTCAACCTTGAACTGTTTGCTTGTGTTGGCATGCACCCTCCCACTAAGTTCTTCAAGTTACTAATGGCAAAAAAAACTATTATGGTTTTGTTTAAATCGATATGTTTCCAATAAATAATCACGTTGGCTTGATACATGTGAATATTTACTGGGGGGGGAGTTGGCGATAGGGAGGGAGGGGGTAAGTGACTTTAATAACAAAAAATGTTTTTGTTATTAACAATAAATTTTAAATAAATACTTTTATTGGAAAGGTTTAGACGTTCCACATGTAAGGAGTTTGAACTGGATTGAGCACACGGTGACGCGAGTAATGTGCAACTGAGTTGAATCTGAAGCAATAGGTTCTGTAAGCACCTCACACGCACCAGGCAAGAGGCACTGTGATCGTTACGCACTTGTACGTCTGAAATCCAGTACAAACTATCCCTCATTATCCTTGGCACCCTCTCCTTGCTTCTCTTTGTTCAGTTGCTGAAATGACATACGATACGCTGGTCATATCAGTGAATTGTCGCCCACCTTGTTCGTTGTGTTTTTTTTATTCTCGAATACGCCAAGCCAGCAGGGCAGGGGCGCACGGGGGTTCAGGGTTTATATGGGGCAATTTCAGGACAGTCCACAGCAAGTGTATCTTTTGCACAGAAGGCAACCAGTAGCCCTCTGTCTAAAGGAAACGGGATACCTGCTCGAGGCCTCATCTGCTTTGCCCACAAAATATAGTCAATTCAATTTACAGCATATTCTGTGAAGCGCTTTGAGAGATGACTCCAAGACGTGATAAGGTGTTATATCAAATCCCAGGATTATTATTATGTTATGATGCAGTAGGAAGACTTGTTACGGGTGAGTGCTCAGAACGGATGAGATCACACGGCCCATTTTCCATCTACACCTCACTTCTGATCTCTTATTTAATTCTAGGGAGGGCTTATGTGCACTCCGTAGCCTGCGTTTCAACCATTCAGACCTCAGCAATGTGGGCAGGATTTCCCTAAAGTGTAGTGACTGTGCAGTTTTTGGGTGAATGCAGCAATCAATTTGCACACAGCAGTGTGAGTTGCAGTGCTGTGGCCTTAGCCCACCCTTACTGGTAACCCATCAATAGTAATAAATAATACAATAATAATCATTGCATTTGTGCTTTATATAGCCATGAGACATTGTATATTATATACCCATTCCAGTTATGTAGCAATAATTTTTTGTGACCATCTAAAAATTGATATTAGGAAGGTCATATTGGGCGTAGAATGTGGCCAATTAGCTTGGTTTTGTGATACCATAGCACAGCACCGTTATTGCAGGCAAGAAACTGACACAAGACAAGCCCACAAAACGTCCACTCACCCCTAAAGCACAAAGTCACTACACTTCACAGTACATAACAATAATATCTTGTGAAGCTCTTTGAGACGTCCAACCAATGTGAAAGGTGCTACATCAAATATTGTTGTTTTTAGTTTATCCGCCTTTGCATAGGAAGCTGAGGTTCATTTCGTTAAACTTGATCCGTTACGCCTCAGTGTTTTCATTCCCATGAATCCTTCCAACTTTCTGTATTACTTCATGCTATAAACTCGGTAAAAATGTTTCATCTGAGCTAAGCGAGTCTGAATCCTTTCTGGTTTACTGTGCCATTTATGAGGTGTGTAGACTTTACTTCTTGTTTATGTATAGGCTCGCAGTTTCTTTTTTCTTTGTTGAATTGGAGCCAAAGTAACTGCAATCCGTGCTTTGCATGCGTTTGACTTCAGCTGTTTCTTACAGTACTTCTACATCTGTGTATCCACTAACAGCTGTGTGGACTTGTTAGCATCCCAATAAAAGGGCTGGTTCCCTAAATGAAAATCTGGCAAATTCTCTGTTGGTTACAATTTTGACAGAAATATCAGAATTGGAACATTTCTTGAGATATATATATGTATAATTTCACCCACAAAATATACAGTCAATTCACTTGACAGTATATACTGTGAAGCGCTTTGAGATGTCTCGAAGACGTGATCTGGTGATACGTGACGTGAAAATGAACACTTTTGTCAAAATTTGTGCTCCTGTCAATGCCAATCTGTCCTGCATTGGGCAGCATTCCGAGGCCAGTTATTGGATCAGCTCGATTTTTTGACGTGATAATTATCCCATCACATGTGGCCTTTTGCTCCCTGTGGTTGAGATGCCATTATTTCCCAGGCCCTGGGGAAGAGGTGGTGATGGGTTGGGTGGACTCTGGAGCTTACCTTTCAGTTGGGCTGGTGGCCGACATTGAAAGGTGCATTTTTTGCCAAACGTGGTCCCGTCAGGGCAGGAGAAGATTGCAGGGTAGACGTGGTACTGGTCAGGAATGCCACAATCCACCGGCTCACAGGTCACTTGCTTGCTCCATTTCCCGTCTGTGCAAGTCACTGTCATTGACGTTTCAGGCTGAAAACAGAATTTCATCTCATCGTTAGCCACTTTGATAGAAACCCTTGATATCTCATGGCATCTTTAAACGTCCACCTCTTCAGGTGGGAATTAATGTTTCACAAGTTCGCGAGAATGGTCTGCTTTTTTTTTGTGATGTTTTGACGCTACAAGTATTTCGTCAAACGCAAGGTTTATTGTTATGAAGGATTTTTGGTGCATAATTCAGGAAAAAGTCCAACTTTCACACACCCTGAAATAAAGGCGAACCACACAACGTCCAGGTTCCCAGGCCTTTGTTTTGAAAGTAAAATTAAAATAAACTTGGTGTTTCCTTCTAAAAAAAATCCACAGTAACCTCAATTGGATCAAGCTTTCGATTGTCTATTTTCACATGTTGTGTGACAATTTGCTTATATACACATATATATATATATGTGTAGTTAAAAGCAGCACTAGAAAAACCATATTCTATTTCAATTCCCTTTCATCGCAGTGGTTAAGCAACAATATTTTTGTGTGTGGTTTCGTCGAAAAATTTTCTATAAACTCCTCGACCCTTGGATTGTAACATGCAGCGAGACTGAAGCCATTGAGGTATTTTGATTGTGAGCAGAATGTGACTTTAAATATTATCCAGATACTCGCCCACTCTCTTATTATCAAAGCATGTTGCAATTTGCAATGTTTTTGTGGCAAATGGTTAAAATGCCGGACGTACACAATAGTAAAGTACTCTTTTGAAATATGTACGGAATCCTCACGAGGCCGACACGTCCTGTCTTTGCTCGAAGCCTCGCATCGTTTCCCATCTCTTGCTGCCAACTTACAAACAGTAATGGTAGAGCTCCATCCTTTTTTAGGTCAACATGTCGGATAGAGCCAATACCACCAGATGTGAGTGAGTAAATACCGTTGAATGCAGAAATGGGCCATTTGGCACTTGGAGACCTCCTCCTGGTGTGAAAGGCACGATCTAAATGTAAATCGCTGTGCGCAATTGGCTGCCGCGTTTTGCCCACAAAATATACAGTCAATTCACTTTATAATATATTCTGTGAAGCGCTTTGAGACATCTCGAAGACGTGATAAGGCGCTGTATCAAATGCAAGGGTTAGAATGATTATTATTAATCTAACCTGTGCATTCCTCATACCTGGTTCCAAAATCCATCCAATTCCCCTTGAAAAGAATCCAGGGATTCAACTGTGATCTGTGCCAGACAATTTGTTCCTTCTCAACACCTCCTGCGTAATTTTATTTCTCTCCTCTAATGTTTTTTGTTACGATGATCACCTTAAATGTGAGCTTAAGTTCCCGACTCGCTGGCCGAATCAGGAACAAATCTATTCCTATTTAATAGAAACCATCCATTTCTCTTTGACATGTGGCTGTTTGGTGGGTTTCTGGGCACTGGTACATTGATCAGCATCTCGTCAAAAAAAAAGTACAAGTGCCCTGGGTTCAGGAGCAATAAAGAAACTGGCTTTTGCTGCTAATTGCTAACACAGAGTTCCCCGCTGATAGTTTACGTGAGGAGTTTGAGTGGGAATGGGATCGGACTCGGAGGCAGTACACCCGAAATTAAAAACAGTCACCAGCACCTACACGCTGCTGTGGGTGTTTGTGGGACATTGACGCGGGCAAATTGGCTTCCACATTCGCCAACAAATATATACAAGTCGACACACTTGACAGAAAATCCTGTGAAGGCTTTGGAGACTTTTGCTGATGTGATAAAGCGTGACATATATCAAACGTTTAGAGACGTCTCGACGACGTAATAAGGCGCTTTACCAAATGCAAGGATTATTATTATTAAAAGCAAGGATTACTATGAACAAGATAGGCTGCCTGTCTCACCCTCTGTTTTGTCCCCTGCTTTGGCAGGGACGTCCGCCCCTTGACACCGCCACGATCAGTAAGGTCTTTCTAAGGTTCTTTGTATCGCAGCTGACGGGCACCTTCAGAGCAGGGTGAGCCATGCAGCAAGAGGAGGGTTTGAGTTCCAGATTTAGGTCCCAAACTGTTGTTGACGAACCAACTGTCCAGCCACCTCTGCGATAACATTGTATTTTTTAAAAATCCCGTTCAGATTGGCTTTGCTCACAGCGTCTGGGCTGTAGCTTCGAGAGGAAAGTCCACCCTAATCGCTGCGCTAAAACGAGACACTCACTTCGGACCAGGTTTCCAAACAAACATGAACACCCATTGTCAGCAACGCTGACATTACGGGCAGCAAATCCAGACATTGAGAAGGAAATTGCTAAAATTAGCAGGCGTGTTTTCCCTTTCAGATCTGGGTGTTTCTGCATCTGATTCTATTTGTTTTCAATAGGGAGTGGAGCTTTGCAGGAACATTTCCAACAACAAAAAATAACAGAGAGTGAATTTATAGCTAGCTTTAACATCAAACTTTTCTCTCTCTCTCTCTCTCTCTCTCTCTTTGCACCAACTTCATTGGAAGTAATGGCTGGGAAACCTCATTTGTGTGGGAGCGATGGTTTAAGGTGATCGTTTCACGAGATCACTTAAGATTCAGATGAAGAAGACCCTTCAGCTCATTTGATCTCATCCTTCCAGAATGCCAGCTTCCCCCCCACCACCGACTCCCATTCCCATCACAACGCCCAAGTTCCTCACCCACCCACCCACCCACCCTTCCTGACAAACAGTTCAAATTGTGAGTTATCCTCTGGGTAAAGCGATACACGAAAACAAGATGATCATTGCAGTATCCTGGGCTAATCCAGTTATCACTGTATATTTAACCTTTTTCTCAATGCTACACCGTACACAGAATCCCTTTCATTTCCGTTTCCTTGATACTCTCATCGGGGGGAATCACCATTCATTGATAAGCAAACAGGAATAAGGAGACTTTGAATAGTAGCAATTAGCGTTGTTTGACCTGTCTCACCACCCTCACCATTTAGACCACATACACACGCACGAGGCCCTCCCTTCAAACCCTGCTATGTGCCATACATCATCAACCAATGCTATTTGAACAAGCTACCATTTGGGGTGAGAGCAAAGTCAGCACAGATCTGACGACAATAATGTTTTGCTTCTTAAATAGCTCCGGTTAAGTCCATCAGTTGCCTCCCTGACACATGTAGGCTCTGATCAGGGCACGGCCTTACTCTGGGTATCAGGGCTGTCTCGGGTCACGGCTATCTGATTTATCAAACTCTCCTCGGCCGGGCTACTCTCTGCTTAAAGACTGGGGCGATCCCATTCTTGGAGTTTCCTTCCCTCTAAAAATTGACAGCTGTATTCCACTTCAAGTACTTTTTAACTACCACTGGCTACTGTGTCTCTAATTAAACACAGATGTTCTTTATTTTCATTCAGAGGTTATGAACCCCCATTTTTTATTATTTTTCGTCCTCAGCCCCCTGTTCCGCACCCCCTTTCCTCACTCCCCCGCCCTCCCCCCCCACCCCTACCACCACCACCACCCCTAGCCCTGTATTATTGTCTGGTCTGCTGCCCAGATCTCAATAGAAGGGAGAGAAGTAACACGCCCCCCACCCCCACACACTCAGGCCCACTCAATGGAGGGCGATGCAGAAAGGGGCAGCCTGCTCTCTACCTTTCCTCTGATGTTGACACCAATGAGCTGGGAGGTGGGGGGGTCTCGTCCACACACCCCCAACCCCAGGGCTACGATCGCGCACAATGTGTGTGCAACGAGTTGCTTTGGAGAGTAGCCACCGCTGGCTATTGCTGGCAGCTGCACTGAGTCAGTGTCGCTCAAACACAAAGCGCTCTGGGACTCTCCCCTCCTGCATGGCGGGGCGCTATATAAATATAAATTGTTGGTCAGGTAATAACCATCCTTGCATTTGACATAGCGCCTTATCATGATACATCCAACGTGCAGGACAGGTTTTTTGGGGGACAGGAGGGGAGTGTTAGATCAAGGACAAATATTGGCAAGAGATATAGGGAATGCTCCCCATTCTCCCTTCTAATAATACCGTGGGAACTTTTTTTAAACGTCCAACAGAATGGGCAGACCTGAGGCTGGTTGAATACTCGATTGACCGAACCGCATTGAGCCACTCACCTGGGACCCTCATGAGCTTTGATTTCTTTTTCCCCCTCTTCCACTCCCACTACCTCCTCCTCCCCCACCCCCCACCACCACCGTGACCCGGTTGATTCTGAAAATAAAAAAACATCAAGTCACTACACTTGCGGCAACTACCTGCGAAACGCTTTGGAAGCCGCAGAGGACCGTTAGAAAGTCCTCACTTGCACAATTCTGTTTAACCACGACTGCCTCGCTCCACGTTTTGCCCCTTCTGCAACCCTCTGACTCCCCTCCCAACCTCCCTCCTTCCCTCCCCATTGGGTGCGATTCCTTTTAAAAAACCAAATTAGATCACGACTGAAGGTAACCAACGAAGGAAGGAAAAAAAACACAAACAATAAATATCACCACACGAGTCATAAAAATCATAAGAAACATCATGGGTGCTTTCTTGGAAGAATGGGTTATTTTTCCTTCATAAGTGCTCTGGAATATAAGTGTTTGAGTGGTTGTTTTCCACCAGCTCGGAGACAGCCTCCCCTGTTGAAGCTGAAGGTTGCACAGGATGGCACAGGAGCCGGAGAGCTCTGTTTACACGGGGAAGTGAGCCTGACACGAGGCCAACGCAATTATATAACACAGTTTACAATGTTGTACTTTCTGAGAATTTCGCTCAAATAAGCAAAGCGTGCGAGCGTGTGTGTGTGTGTGTGTGTGTGTGTGTGAGAGAGAGGGGCAAAAAGAGAGGGAGGGAAGGGGAGTGAGAGGAGGGGAGGGAAAAACAGGTTTAATTTTTATCTGTGAAAAGTCCACAAACAAATTAAGAGGGGACATTCTTACACTCGTACATCCCTGGTCAACAAGGCGAGGAGAGGAGAGGGAACGGAAAGACAGAGGGGGTGGGGGGGGGGAAAGAAAAATGTTGTTCAATACATGTTTTACGCAAGCATATTATTTCAATTATAAATCTTCAGGT